CATTTGGTGCTGAACTTGAATCTCCTTGCATTCTTCTTTTTCATCATTCTTTTTTAAAAGAAAATAATTTTATTAGTTTACATATTTTATTTTTCGCCTGTGCTGGTTCTCTGTCGCTGCTCAGACTTTTCTCTAGTTGTGGGGAGCGGGGGCTGCTCTCTAGTTGTGGTGCACGGGCTTCTCATTGCAGAGGCGTCTCCTGCTGTGGAGTATGGGCCTGGGCTCTAGGCCACAGACTCAGGAGTTGTGGTGCTCGGGCCTCGTTGCTCTGCGCGATGTGGGCCTCCTGGGTCAGGGATCAAACCTGTGTCTCCCTAATTGGCAGGCAGATTCTTTACCACTGAACTACCAGGGAAGCCCTATCATTCTTCTTTAAAGTTGTTGTCTGTCTACTCCAGCAGCTCAGCTTTGCTGGGTGACAATTATGTTGACCATACTCTTTTCACCTGTTGAATCTTTTCAAGGGCTATCATTTTCCTTAGGGACTCAGATTTGGGAATTGAGAACTCTGAGTGGTGACAGTTTCCCAAGTGATGAAAGAAGATGGATTCTTCACCCATGGGGGTCCATGTGTGTACTAGGCAGGTGTGTAGAGGTGCCTCCATGCTCCCCAATCTCCTTGCTTTCTTCTAGATTCAGGAGCAAAGCTCCTCTTGAAGTTCTTGGGATCCAGATGGATCAAAGATGCACACACATGGAATGATCACACACACACACACACACAAACACAAATGATGCTGACCTTATCCAGGAGGTTCATGGACCCTGAGGAGTCAAACTCTTCATAGGATGAACTGTGTCTAATTTTCACCCAGAGTTCTCTTCAGTTTCCACCTGGTGGAAACTTTCCACCTGGTGATTACCATCTGAGCCACCAGGGGAGCCCATAGCTTGGGATGGGGCTGTCAAATCCTTCCTGCAACCTGTCTTTATATGGCTAGTGAGCTAGAGGAAGTTTTTGCATCTCTAAAGTGATATACACATATAGCACTTTATACATATACCACACAAATGTATTTATGTCCGTCTGTTCTATCATCTGGGCTTCCCCAGTGGCTCAGTGGTAAAGAATCCACCTGCAATGCAGGAGACGCAAGAGACACAGGTCTCTTCCTTGGGTCGAGAAGATAACCTGGAGGAGGGCATGGCAACCCACTCCGGTATTCTTGCCTAGAAAATCCCATGGACAGAGGAGCCTGGCGGGCTTCAGTCCATTGGGTTGCAAAGAGTCAGACATGACTGAAGCAACAGAGTGCAAGCACGATTCTGTCATCTATCTGTCACTGTATCTAGCCTGAAAAATCTAGAAAAAGTTTGCTCATCCATCTTTAGCATGAGCAAAGAGCATCTTTCCTCACCTTAGGAAGGTGAGGATGTGAGAAAGGTGAAAGACGCAGGAGAGAGGGGAGATAATCGGTGGAGAAAGGTCCCCAAAGAGGCATGAGGGGGACAAGGTCCAAAGCACAGAGGGGGAGGTTAGTTTTAACAAAAAGAGGGACTCCTCTGCCATTGTGGAAGAGGAGAGGAGGCGATGAGCATCAATGGGGGAAGGAATCAAAGATGAGTATGGATGTAGGTATATCTGTAAGAGGTGTCAGAAGGCTGAGGGAGTTTCCATCAGCTGGTGCTTATTTTCTCTGAGAAGTAGGGAACGAGGTCTTCTACCTTATATAGAGAAAGGGGATGCAGATTGAAGAAAGAACTGAAAAACTGGAACTCCCCACATGGGGAAGTTGACTAGGGATAGGAGGACTGAGTTCCAGGTAGCCTGGGAGGTCTTGTTTAGACCAGAAAGCACACATTTGTAATGGCTCCTAGATGAATGATTCTGGGATCTCACTGCTTTGATGGAGAGTGGAGAAGAAACATGGTTGGTTCATAAGGAAAAATGCTTTAGGCTACAAGTAACAGATAACCTGACCCCAAGTGACTTAACAAAAGGAGTTCATTTGTTTTACGTATGGAAAATTTCAAGGGTTGGTTACAGTCATAAGCTGACAACATCATAAAGCCCAGCTTAATTCTGACTTTTCACTCTTCCATCCTTAGTATTTCCATGCTACCTCCTTTGTAAGCATCATATTATTATATGATAGCAGCTAAAACTAAGGAGTAATTGGCAAGCTCTTCTTGAATTTGTCTTTGTTTTTTATCGAGGAGAAAAAGTATGTTCCAGTAGGTGTCTCTTACATTTCAGTGGCTAGAACTGGTCCAAATGTCTATCCTAAACCAATTTCTAGCAAATAGGAAGGAAATCACTATGGCTAGTTTATACCAGGGTTTCTCAACCTCATCACTACTGATATTTAGGGATGGATAACTCTGCTGTGTATGTTAGGGCTGTCTAGCAGCTGTTTAGCAGCATCCTTGACATCTACTGCTTAGATGCCAGTAGCATCCCCTTGCCCAAGTTACTGCAATCAAGAATGTCTCCAGACATTGCCATATGTCGCTAATGGTGGGGATAAATCATCTCCAGTTGAGAATCACTGGGCTGAGATCAATCTCTACTGACCCCTGGGACCAGGTATGTTGCTGTCCTAAATATTAAAACAATCAAGGTTATATTAAAAAGGAACATGTAATGGTGGCAATGACTGCTGAGTAGACAATCCACAGTGCCTCTTATGATTGGATCAGTCCTGGATGCAGATGACACCATCGTTATGGCAGAAAGTGAAGAGAAAATAGTCTCTTAATGACAGTGAAAGAGGAGAGTGAAAAAGATGACTTGAAACTCAACATTTAAAAAACGAAGATCATAGCATCTGGTCCCATTACTTCATGGCAAATAGAAGGGGAAAAAGTGGCAGTAGTGATAGATTTTATTTTCTTAGACTCCAAAATCATTTCAGATGGTGACTGCAGCCATGAAATTAAAAGATGCTTACTCCTTGGAAGGAAAGCTATGACAAAACTAGTTGTTGTTTAGTTGCCAAGTCATATCCAACTCTGCGACCCCATGGACTGCAGTACACCAGGCCTCCCTGTCCCTCACTATCTCCCAGAGTTTGCCCAAGTTCGTGTCCACTGAATCGGTGATACCATCCAACCATCTCATCCTCTGTTGCTCTCTTCACCTTCTGCATTCCATCTTTCCCAGCACCAGGGTCTTTTACAATAAGTTGACTGCTTACATCAGGTGGCCAAAATATTGGAGCTTCAGCTTCAGCAACAGTACTTCCAACAAGTATTCAGGGTTGATTTCCTTTTAGATTGATAGGTTTGATCTTGCTGTCCAAGGAACTCTCAATAGTTTTCTCCAGCAACACAGTTTGAAAATCTCAATTCTTCAGTTCTCTGCCTTCTTTATGGTCCAACTCTCACATCTGTACATGACTACTGGAAAGACCATAACCTTGACTATGTGGACCTTTGTCAGTAAAGTGAAGTCTTTGCTCTTTAGCACAGTTTAGGTTTGTCATAGCTTTCCTTCCAAGAAGCAATTGTCTTCTAATTTCATGGCTGCAGTCATTATCTGCAGTGATTTTAGAGCCCCAAAAGAGGAAATCTGTCACTGCTTCCACATTTTCCCCTTCTATTTGCCATGAAGTGATGGGACAGGATGCCATGATCTAAGTTTTTAATATTGAGTTTTAAGTTGGCTTTCTCACTCTCCTTTTTCATCCTCATCAAGAGGCTCTTCAGTTCCTCTTTGCTTTCTGCCATTAGTGTGGTATCATCTGCATATCTAAGGTTGTTGATATTTCTCCTGGCAATCTTTATTCCAGCTTGTAGCTCATCCAGCCCAGCATTTTGCATGATGTGTTCCTTATATAAGTTTAAATAAATAAGATGACAGTGTACAGCTTTATCATACTCCTTTCTCAATTTTGAACCAGTCAGTTGTCCCATATAAGATTCTAACTGTTGCTTCTTGACCAGCATACAGGTTTCTCAGGAGACAGGTAAGATGGTCTGGTATTCCCATCTCTTTAAGAGTTTTCCACAGTTTCTTATGATCCACACAGTCAAAGGCTTTTGTGTAGCCAAGGACACAGAGGTAGATGTTTTTCTGGAGTTCCCTTGCTTTCTCTATGATCCAGTAAATGTTGGTAATTTGGTTACTCTGCCTTTTCTAAACCCAGCTTGTATATCTGGAAGTTCTTGGTTCATCTACTGCTGAGGCCTAGCTTGAAGGATTTTGACCATAACTTTACTGTCATGGGAAGTGAGTGCAATTGTCTGGTAGTTTGAACATTCTTTAGACAGTGTGTTAAAGAGCAGAGACATCACTTTACCGAAAAAGGTCCATATAGTCAAAGCTATGGTTTTTCCAGTAGTCATGTATGGATGTGAGTGTTGGACAATAAGGAAAGCTGAGCTCTGAAAAATTGATGCTTTCAAACTATGGTGCTAGAGCCCCAAAGAGCCCTTGAGAGTCTCTTCAACTACATGGAGATCAAACCAGTCAATCCTAAAAGAAATCAACCCTGGATATTCATTAGAAGGACTGATGCTGAAGCTCCAATACTTTGGCCACTTGATGTGAAGAGCTGACCCATTGGAAAAGACCCTGGTGCTGGGAAAGATTGAAGGCAGATGGAGAAGGGGGTGACAGAGAATGAGATGGTTCAATAGCATCACCAACTCAATGGACAAGAATTTGAGCAAATTCCAGGAGACAGTGGAGGACAGAGGAGCCTGGACTGCTGCAGTCATGGGGTTGCAAAGAGTCAGACACGACTTGGGGAACTGAACAACAAAACTAAGTATGGAATCAGAATGAGGAAGCAAAGGTGTTGAAAGTATGAGGGAGAATCATTTGACTCGGGTGATCATGAGATTTAGCCTGGATAAGGAAGGAGGTAAAAGTGATGGTTTGGAAGAAGCTGATGGTTTGAGTTTAAAAAGCATGTTTAGGATGAGAGAAAAAAATTGAGAAAAAGGCCTTGACAAGGGCTCCCTCACTCACAAAAAGTCTGTGGAGTATTTGCAATGGTCATGATTTGGGTATCCAGGAATAAGCATTGATTGAAAACGTAATAGTGAAGAGAAATCCAATTGAATGCACATTTATTCAGATCCCATTATGCAGAACAAACACTTCAGGAAGTGAAGGTTAAACTTTTCCTCTCCAGGAATGATGTGTATAATGATTCTCCTTGTCTGCACCTTCATTCTTCATGATGCCAACAAACAGATCCACATGCATGACATGAAGAGCTGAATGTTCTAGTTTTAGTATTTTCTTTTCACTTGACCTAGAAAACATCCCACCCCAAAGATGTTTAGATTAAAGCTAGATGTCAGGATAAAAAAAAAACCAAAGAAATGAGCAACAAAACAGACAGGAAGAGTTGGAGTGAGTTAAAGCCAGAAAGCTCCATTCAGCAGGTAAGGATGGCTTGAAATCCTAGCATTTTGGGCTTCTTTAGATTATAGTGGGAGGACTTTAGCTTATAGAGGGAGGACTTCTCAAAAATCCAGGATGAAGAATTCTTTTTTTAAATCTTTTACCCAGATTCACTTACTGTTTTTTTTTTTTAATTTTAACTTTTCATCTTGTATTGGGGTATAGCCGATGTTGTGATAGTTTCCAGAGAACAGTGAAGAGACTCAGCCACACCTATGCATGTATCCATTCTCCCCCAAATTCCCCTTCTACAGGATGAAGAATTCTTTTTTGGAAAAAAGTGTGGATATAGTATCCCACTCTAGAATTTCAGCCCCTGGGATGTTGGTTTTTTGGTTCATAAAGAAAGGCTAAACTCTAAGTTCCTTGAAGGCGGCTACAGTGTTGGTATTGTTGCATTTTGTATGTTCCCTGCTTACCATAATGTTGTACGTATTATAGAACTCAATAAGCATTCTCTTTGTCCCCTACAAGTTGTAGCTTGGTTTAGAAGCTTCAGGCTCCACAGGGGAGCAAATATCTCCCTACAGCTGCCCACGAGGATAGGAGTTCCTGACTCAGTTATTACAGGAAGTCCAAAGCTATGCCTTCCCTCCTGGTATTTATTGTTCATTTGAAGAATTTCTTGTCCTCAAGCAGGACTTTTCCCATAAGCAGCATTCCTTGGTTATACAACCGACCTTCCAATGTTATCAAGTTTGTGGGGAGCAGAACTATAACGTTAACCCAAGATCAAGTTTGTCCATAAAGGACAAAGGGTTTTATTAGCTTTTTACTCATACTCTGTGCATAAAAAAAGGAAAAACTTCAAAAATTCTTCTACTTAAAGCAATTGTATTTCTTAAATGCAGCTACATATAAAATATATCATACATATATAATATATAAATATATCATGTATTCNATTCTTCTACTTAAAGCAATTGTATTTCTTAAATGTAGCTACATATAAAATATATCATACATATATAATATATAAATATATCATGTATTCTTTCCTTTATAAAGATACACTCATTTAATTTCCATAGTGCTAAGCAATCATCATCATCATCATCATCATCATCATCATCATAATAACATTTCCTTATTCATTGTGGGAAACTAGTAGTCGGAGTGCTGGCAGCTTTGGGAATTCTTTTGGGTTATCTGGGAAACATTTCAAAGGTCACAGCCAGTGGTTAGCACCTATAACAATTTTACTCTTATTGAGAATATTAAGCTTAATATTTTTTCTTATGACTTGATTGGCTCTATTCTCTGTAAGCTTAATATTTATACAAAATTTTTCCAAAAAGAAATTTTCTGATCAGTTGACAAGCATGCCCTAACACTTTTTCCTGGTTCCATTTTCTTCTTGGTCCTTTGGAAAGATTTAGAATGAATTCCCCTTCCCTTCCTCCAAGAAGGAACTTGGAGATCACTGTTTTCTTCAGTGACCTTGATATTTCCACTGCTAAAGAAAATTCCACATTTTCTCAAGAAATGTAGAAAGAGTGTTTCAGAAAGTTCTCAATTTTGTTTAGCTTAAAAGTAACATATTCTAAGGCTTTTTGGTTAGCAGATGTGGTAGGCATGTACATGGAAGACATAAAGCCAAATGAGATTGGGAGAATTTTTATGGATTAGACTCTTTGGAGCCCGTCTAGTGACATACCTTCTTACAAGTATGTCCTCTCATTTCTATAAAAGATCAATTAGGGGACAACTGTGGAGAGAAGTCTCAGGTAGTACTGGGAGTGCATTTCTTGATGCCATCAATCCTGAGTTAGCTCAGTGGAAGAACAGACAAAACCAACAACCAAGTTCTAGAGAGGTTCTCTTTCTAACAGGACCATTTCCTCTCCCAGAAGTTCCCATTATTACATGCACTCCTCCTCCGTAATTATGTAGAACATCTGGGGTGGGCTTTCTCTTCTGGATCCCTTTCTGTAGTATCCACTACCTCCATGGGGGCTCAAGTCCACCTCCTTCTGAAACAGCCATATTTTGGGGGACAATGACCACTCTGCTATGTCTGTGATTGTAAGTCTCCCCCTAAAGGATTCTACTTTAGATGGTAGTGGTGCTGGTGATATGTTTTACCCGTACTTTAAAAAAATTAATTTTTATTGGACTATAGTTCATTTACAATGTTGTGTTTATTTCTCCTAGTCAGCAAAATGCATCAGTTATACATATATCCACTTAAAAAAAAATTTGGCCATGCCATGCATCATGCAGGGTCTTAGTTGTCTGACCAGGGATTGAATCTGTGGCCCCTGCATTGGAAACACGGAGTCTTAACCACTGGACTGCCAGGGCAGTCCCTGTAACCACTGTTTTAGATTCTATTCCCATAAATCATCACAGAGTATTGAGTAGAGTTCCTTACAGTGTGCTTACACTGTGCTTACAGTTCCTTATAGAGTGCTATACAGCAGGTTCCTATTAGTTATCTATTTTATTTATTTTTAAAAAAGCTTTTAATTTTATATTGGGGCTTCCCAGGTAGCTCAGTGGTAAAGAATTCACTTGCCAAGCAGGGGATGTGGGTTCAGTCCTTGGGTTGCGAAGATCACCTGGAGAAGGAAAGGGCAACCCACTCCAGTATCCTTGCCTGGGAAATCCCATGGACAGGAGAGCCTGGCAGGCTAGAGTTCAAGGGGTCACAAAGAGTCGGACAAGACTGAACCACCACCACTCCCGTAGTTGATTGGCAATGCTGTGTTAGTTTCAGGCGTACAGCAAAGTGATTCAGTTATATATATGAATGTATCTATTCTTTTCCATATCATTTTCCCATTTAGGTTATTACATAACATCCATCAGAGTTCCCTGTGGTATAATAAGTAGATCCTTATTAGTTATCCGTTTTACATAGAGCCGTGGGTACATGTCAATCTGAAATTCCCTAACTATCCCATACTTCGAATGATAAGAGTATATATTAATACAAGAGCCAGTTTACTGAGCAAGAAGGGAACAGTGAGAAACAGTATGATGGGAATGAGGAATGCAAACCAAGTCATCAGGAAAAGAACTCCTCCCCACACTCAGCATGAAAGGGAGCTTGTTGGGTGGAGAGGGAGGTGGGAGGGGGGATCGGGATGGGGAATACTTGTAAATCCATGGCTGATTCATGTCAATGTATGACAAAAACCAATACAATATTGTAAAGTAATTAGCCTCCAACTAATAAAAATAAATGAAAAAAAAAGACAAGGAGAGGAAGTTTGGGGTGTCAAGGCGTAACACATTAGAATAAGTCACAAGTCTTACCTCACTGGGTTTTGAGTCAGGACCAAACCTGCTGGAAAGTGTGTAAATCTCAGACTCAGATTTAGATTTGATGATCTCGCCAAACCACTTTTGGACCTGGAACATCAAAGAAAATACCAGGATTATTTTTGTTAATGTTGGAGAAGAGAAAAGTCAGTGAGTAGGAAGAGGGAGGGAATATTACGAAAAACCTTTTCTTACAAAATGTGGTATATGCATACAATGGAATGTAATTTAGCCTTAAAAAGGAATAAAGTTCTGAAACAGGCTACAACATGGATAAGCCTCGGAGACATTACACTGAGTGAAATATATATGTTAAAAAAAACTGTTAGTCACTCAGTTGTGTCTGACTCTTTGAGACCCCATGGACTGTAGCTCTCCAGTCTCCTATGTCCATGGGATTTTCCAGGCAAGAATACTGGAATAGGTAGCCATTTCCTTCTCCAGGGGATCTTCCCAACTCACGGGTTGAACCCGGGTCTTCTGCACTGAAGGCAGATTCTTTACCATTTGAGCCACCAGGAAATATATAAGCCAGACACCAAAGAACAGCTATTGTATGATTCCACATGTTGAGAACCTGTAATAGTCAAATTAACTGGGACAGAAAGTAGAGTAGTGGTTACCAGGAGCTTGGCAGGGGGGAATACAGCATTATTGTTTAAGGGATATGGGGTTTCAGTTTGGGATGATCAAAAAGTTCTAGAATGGATGGTGGTGAAGGTTTCATGACAATGTGAATGTACCTAATGCTACTGATCTGTACAACTAACAAGGTTAAAATGACAAATTTTGTCATGTATAATTTACCACAACAATTTTTTTCATATTACAGAATACACATTTGTCATAGAAAATTAACAAAATACGCATAGGCAAAGGAATAAGATAGAAGAAAACTGAGGAAGAAAATTCCTCAATCTAGCTCTCAGGGCTTCCCAGGTGGCCCTAGTGGTAAAGAATCTACCTACTGATGCAGGAGACACAAGAGTCACGGGTTTGATTCCTGGATTGGGAAGATCCCCTGGAGTAGGAAGTGGCAACCTGCTCTAGTATTCTTGCCTGGAAAATCCTATGGACAGAAGAGCCTAGTAGGCTACAGTCCATAGGGTCCCAAAGAGTCAGACACAACTGAACAACTGAACATGAACATGAACACGAACACGAACATGAACACCCAGAGGAGCTTCCCAGGTGGCTAAGTGGTAAAGAATCCAACTGTCAATGCAGGTTTGATACCTGGGTTGGGAGATCTGCTGGAGGAGTAAATAGCAACCCACTCCAGTATTCTTGCTGGGATAATCCGATGGACAGAGGAACTTGGTAGGCTACTGTCCATGGGGTTGCAAAGACTCAGACACAACTGAACAGCTGAGCACACAGGTACGCCCAAGAAACACCAGTAGATCCTTGCAAAAGTGAGACAGGGAAAGAAAGCTAGCTAATAAAAAAGGTATAATCCTTGATTCTGTGTTTCCACTGTGGACGGGTGGGGTTCAGTGTCACTGGGGGGTCTGGAGAGAGCATAGGACATATTTCAGGGTTATTCACCTCAGAGACAAGGGAGCTGGGGCATCCGTCTGCTAGCACCCATCAGTCATTGGTTGAGGCTGCTTTCAAGGGTCACTATTCTCTGAAAATACCAGCTTACCCTGTGCATGAACCAGGCAAGTCTTGTGGGCAGTAAGAAGCCCACTGGCACAGAGTCACAGGTGTTTATAATAAACAACCATGGGCAGGTAGAATAGAATGCCAAAGGGCTATGAGAGGGCCATCAGCAGCATCTGCTGGACTTCCCTGGTGGTACAGTGGATGGGAATCCACCTGCCAATACAGGGGACATGAGTTCAATCGCTGGTTTGGGAAGATTCCACATGCCACGGACCGACTGAGCCCATGTGCTGCAACTACTGAAGACCGAGCACCCTGGAGCCGGTGCTCCACAACAAGGGAAGCCTCCATGGGGAGAAACTCCTCCAATGTGGAGTAGGCCCAGCTCTCTGCAACTAGAGAAAGCCTGCGCACACACAGACGCAAAGCAGTGAAGACCCAGTGCAGCCAAAAATAAACAAACTTAAGAAAATGAATAGACAGAACTAATTTATATACATAAAAAGAAAGAGGCCACTGTTTACCTGCTGGCTGAGGAGGCAGTACACCAGGAAGATGAAGAAACCCTGCAGGCTGTTGATGATGGTGAAGAGGTAGGCCATAACGCGGGCAGCCGGTCCCACCTGCAGGATTCCCAGACACCACGTGCATCCCAAGATGAAGAACTGAGCGGTGGCTTTGACTGTCAGCATCCTGGGTAGTAATAATTGATACTGTAAAGAAACCTGATAATGATCGTGACCATTCCTATAGCACAGTTGTTAATGGTGAGTACTCTGGAGCTAGAATGCCTGTGTTTTAAATCCAAGCCAGCACTAACTAACTTGGTGACCTTGGGCAAGTTACTTTCTGGCTTTCTTTCCACCCCTTCCACCTTTTTTTGGCCATATCATGCAGCTTGGGAGATCTTAGTTCCCTGACCAGAGGTCAAAGCTGGGCCATAGCAGTGAAAGTGATGAGTCCTAACCCCTGCACTGCCAGGGAATTTTCCTCCTTTCCTGCAACTCAGTTCCCTAATAATTGTAATAGTCCTATTTCATAGGGTTGCTGCAAATATTGAGACTTAACATATGGGAAATATTTAAGACAGTATGTGGAACAAAATTGTGCATTCAAAGTTGCTTCAGTCATGTCCAACTCTTTGTGACCCCATGGACTGTAGCCCATCAGGCTCTTCTGTCCATGGGATTCTCTAGGCAAGAATACTGGAGTGGGTTACCATTTCCTATTCCAGGGGATCTTCCTAACATAGGGATTGAATCCCTATTACCTGTGTCTCCTGCATTGGCAGGTGGGTTCTTTACCAATAGCGCCACCTGAGAAGCCCAAAATTAGTACCATACATATGTAGAACATTCTAAAACTATAAAGTTCTTTGTTTCATTCTGTCTATATCACTTACAGATGGGGGAGGTCTTATAATTTGTTATTCAAGCAGGAAGGCTTTTGAGATCAAAAGGGGTGCAATTCAGGGGAACTATATTCATTATCTTGTATTAATCTATAATAGAAAAGAATCTGAAAAAGAGTATATATATATATATGTGCGTGTAACCAAACCACTTTGTGGTACACATAAAAATAACAGAACATTTTAAATTAACTATGCTTCATTAAAAAAGGGACGATATTAATAAACATAATGCATCAGCAAAACATAAACTTGGACCATCCCAGGAAAACTGAGATGTAAGGTCACCTTATTTATATATCTATATATCTCTAATTTTAAAATATAATATGTAACTGAGAAAAGCTAGTTGAGGAACAGTTTGTGTAGTGTGATGCTATGGTATGTATGCCTGCCTGTTCTATAGAAAATGCACAGAAAAAGACCTGGGAATATATCAGACACATCATATCATACAGTTTCTTACCTCTGGATTTCCTGGTTAGTAAAGTAGTAGGAATATTGGAAGCAAGCGGCTGTCACTTTTAAATTTATATGTTTTGAAAACTTTTGACAAATAATAAAAAAGTAACAAATGTGCTATATTTGTGATTACAATGAGAACCTTAGCAAACTACAATTAAGACGGATGGTGCACACTATTTACAATAGCCAGGACGTGGAAGCAACCTAGATGTCCGTTGACAGATGAATAGATAAAGAATTTGTGGAACATGCATAACAAAGGTACAATGAAATATTACTAAGCAAGAAAAAGGAACAAATGAGAGTCAGCTGAACTGAAGTGGATGAACCTAGAGCCTGTTATACAGAGTGAAGTAAGTCAGAAAGAGTAAAACAAATATCGTATATTAGTGCATATATATGCAATCTAGAAAAATGGTGCTGATGAAACTATTTGCTGGGCAGGGATAGAGACACAGATGTAGAGAACAGATTTGTGGACACAGCAGGGGAAGGAGAGAGTGGGACAAATGGGAGAGTAGCATAGAAACATATACATTACCATGTGTAAGATAGTTAATGGGAAGTTGTTGTATAGCACAGGGAGAGCAGCTCAATGTGATGACCTAGAGGGGTGGGATGGGGGGGACTGAGGGAGGTTCAAGAGGGAGGGCATACATGTACACTCATGGTTGACTCACACTGTTGTATAGCAGAAAGCAACACAACACTATAGAGCAAGTGTCTCCACTTAAAAACAAATTTAAGAAAAGGTGGATGCTGCAAAATAAAAAAAATACTCCCAATTTTTTGAAACAGTATTATACAAAATGTATTTTAACCTAAATCTTTCCTGAACTATTGCCTCTTGTATTTTGCAGCAGGGAAGTCCCTCCTCTTCCTTTTAGTGTTAGATCTCTTTCCTTTCTGAGATTCATCAAGGACACATGCCTGCCCAGTTAGAAACTACATTTCCCAGCCTCCTTTGCAGCTAGGTGTCACCACATGACCAAAGTCTAACCAATGAGATATGAGTAAATATGGAACTTGCAAATTCCATGTCACTTTCTTCCCATGGATGGGATACAACATCCTAGGGGCTAGTGGGGCAACAAAATAGAAAGAGCTTGAGCCCTGGATCACTCTGTGGAGCTCTGTTCTGTGGCATGAGAATGAAATAAACTTCTATCTCACTTTCTTTTTTTGAGTCCCAGCAATTGAATATAGATTCTCACTGTGGCAGTGGAAGATAGCAGTGACCTTGCTAGTTCCTAGAGGCTGACTGTACATATATGTCTCTGTGGATATGTAGGAGGGACCAGTAAGAAGTGAGTAGAAGAAAAGGGGGTTAGAAAATACCATTTTATTTAGAAAATACCATAACTTACTTTATGTTCCGGATGGTTGACACTTCACTGTTGAGCGAGGAAAGTTTTCTTTTCAAAATCCAAAAAACCATGAGAAAAAATACAAAATTCACCTGCAAGAGTGACACAGACCATGGAGAATACAAGTTAAAATGTACCGTGTCTATTCAATTTATGGTAACATACTGTAGAGCACAACATGGTCTTCTAACTGGGAGGGAAACCCAAAATGGAAGGGATATATATATATATATATATATGGCTGATTCATTTTGCTATGCAGTAGAAGTTAACAAAACATTGTAAAGCAACTATACTGAAAAAAATTGAAAAGCCGTTAAACAAAATGTACCATGTCTGCTGTAAATTGCATACAACCCCTACCTCCCTGCACATGGATTTGAATTGGTAGCAGATGGAAAAATCAAACCATATAACTGAGAAAATGTGTGTCCCTTGTGCTATCCTGCACCCAGCATGTCTGGCGCTTCTGCTTAGGTCAGGAACACTGGAGCCACGTATTCACTCACACAGAAAATGGCACACACAGGTCCAAGGAAAGCCCAGATGAAATTCTGGTCCAGGTGGAGCCAGCATCTGGGAACAATGGGAAAAGGGACATGAAGGGAGATCAAAGAAAGCACATGAAATGGACATGAAATGACATCTTTTTCTAACCGAAAACTTTTCCAGTGTTTCTTGAAAATGTCAGCTGGTGACAATGCAGGCTTTGATCATTTGCTTCCATGTATTACTGCTACATGAAACAGTTTACAAGCACAGACCTGTTGAATTTTCATACCAGTATTTCGAGGGTGGGAACCATGGAGATGACTATTATCTCCATTTTACTAACGAGGGTATTGAGACTTGAGGGGGCTTTCCAGGTGGCCCAGTGATAAAGAATCCACCTGCAATGCAGGGTATGCAGCAAGAGCCATGGGTTTGATCCCTGGGTCAGGAAGATCCCCTGAAGGAGGAAATGCCGACCCACTCCAGTATTGTTGCTTGGGAAATCCCGTGGACAGAGCAGCCTGGCAGGCTACAGTTCATGGGATCACAGAGTTGGACCTGACTTAGCAACTGAGCGTGAGACTTGAGGACTTGAGGTCACAAATTATGGGAAGGATAAAGCTGGGACCTAACTGCAAAATTTCCTCCTTCCAGAACTTTCCACATCATCTTTCCCTGCCTCACTGGGAAAGAAGTTAGAGCCCTTACACTCAAAGGGAAAATAGAGTGCATCTGTTGTGTTTATCTGAATCATTGCCATTAACACTGCCCTCAAATCTGTCCATGGCACAGGGTGAGACTTACCGATCAGGTGTTCCATAAAGATGAGGCCTGGAGGCTGCAGAAATGGCCACGATCACAGCCGGGACTCCGTAGCCCACTGGGAACATAAGCCACTTCATGAACTTGTTGATACTGGAGTAGTTGACCACCGTCAGGTTGCGTGCAGTGAGGAAGAGGTGCAGGCCCTCCAGCAGCATCCAGGTGAAGGAGGCCAGGTAGAGATAGTGTAAGGCACCTGCGATGATGGCACACAGCACCTGGGGGAGGAGGAAGGTGTCACCAGGAGGGTCTGTTAGGGTGGAGCATGGCCCCAGGACCTCTCCTTTATACTGGCATTGAGTTCAGAAGCCCTGCTATTAGATCACGGTCGTTGAAAGTAAAGGTGGTTGATAATGCCAGCACTGCTCACCTCACCACGCATCCTCCCTCTAGGACCCAAGGCTATTTTATTGAGGGGTCCGAGGCAGCATGGCCCCATGAATTCAGCATCCCCTGAGGTAGGCACATTCTGGGACAGTGTAAGTACCTTGTTCTCAGTTCTGTCGATGGCTGTCAGGAAGAGCAGGTGGGCCAGGAAGAGGCAGAGCGAGAGCTGCAGGTGGAGCGAGGTGCTGGTGTTCTGGATGGCTTTGCACAGCAGGAAGGTGAGGGCCGCCAGGAGGAGGCACAGCAGAGAGAAGCTCAGCCCCACGTAGGTGATCACAGTCAGTGCGGGATCCTCCTCCTGGGACCCAGCAGAGAGGAGACCACAGTCACGCTTTCCTGTCCTGGGATTATATTCTCCCACCCCTTGGAATGTGGCATCCCAAAATAGGCAGACCACCTGTATCTCTGCAATGAGGGGATGGGTGCAGACTTCCTGTGTGCTGTCACCCAGCCTATGTCATCAATAAGTCCTCTGAACCCACCTTTAGGATATGTGTCAAGTCTGATCTTTTCCCACCAACTCTGCAGCTGCCATCCAAATCCTGACCACCACCATCATCTCTCTGCCGGGCTACTTCTGCTGCACCACTGACCATTCTTGACTCAGGGGCCAGAGATACTTTCTAATAACATAAACCTGTAGCATCCCTGATGCAAATCCTCTACTGTCTCTCCATTGCAATTAGAATGAAATCTAAACTCCTGACTATGGCATGTGTGGTCTGACACTGTTCCCCTGCTCTCCTCTCTCCAAACCTGACTTTTCCCACTTCCCTGTCATCCATTCTATTCTTTCTAGAACACACTGGGTTTGTTTACTCTGTCTCATGGATTTGCCTATTGTTAATATTTATTGTTTAATTTTATTTTATATTTGACTGTGCTGGGTCTTCATTGCTACTTGTGGGCTTTCTCTAGTTGTGGCTGGTGAGGGCGACTCTCTTGTTGCTGTGTGAGGGCTTCTTATTGGGCTGGCTTCCCTTGTTGCAGAGCACGGGCTCTAGGGTGAGTCGGCTTTAGTATTTGTGGCATGTCGGTTCAGTAGTTGTGACTCGTAGGCTCCAGAGCACAAGCTCATTTGTTGTGGTGCACAAGTTCAGTGGCTCCTCAGCATGTGGGATCCTCCCAGACCAGGGATCAAACCCATGTCCCTTGTATAAGCCAGATCCTTAACCACTGACCACCAGAGAAGGCCAGATTTGCCTATCCTAGACATTTCATATAAGTGGAATCCTACAGTATATAGTCCTTTGTGTCTAACTTCTTTCATTCAGTGTGATATTTTTGAGATTCATCCACATTGTAACACTGCTGACTTAATATTCAGATTTCAGCTTGAGTAGCTCATTCTCCTCCGATTACTCTATCCAAAGCAGTACACTTCTCCTATCACTCCAGACTTGGTCTGTTAAACTTTTTTTTATAGCAGTTATGGCCACCTAGTAGTGTAGTAGTGTTAGTTGCTCAGTTGTGTCTAACTCTTTGCGATCCCGTGGACTGTAGCCTGCCAGGCTCCTCTGTCCATAGGATTTTCCAGGCAAGAATTGGAGTGGGTTGTCATTTCCTCCTCTAGGGGATCTTCCCAACCCAGGGACTGAGCCCACATCTGTTATATCTCCTGCATTGGCAGGCAGGTTCTTTACTACTAGGGCCACCTAGCAGGGCCTCAAAAGGGGTTAGCTGGAGGAATTCAACAGTTACGTCCTACCTGGTCATGGAAGGCCATGAGAACAGCGAAACTGGACAGGTGAGTGGAACTGCATATCGTGTGAGTCGTGTTCGCTTGTATCAGAGCACAGCCATCCTTGGACCAGCGTTCACCCTCATTTGTGCTTTTCCAGTAGACGCAGAAGATCTTGTTGTTCCTGGGATTCACCTGAAAATAGAACAGGCTCATCATGTTGTTCCTTGGGAGGGACAACTCTGAGTGTCAGCCTTGGCTGGTGACACCATGGGTTAAGAAGGATCAGGTGATTTCTATTTTAAGTGAAGAGGATGACCACCAGTATACCTGCCCCCAGAGTCCCAGTTCTACTGGGATTCCACCTAACAGAAAACAATCTCATCTCTCTCTCTGGGAGTCAGAATTTTACAAGATGTTACAGGTTTCAGGACTTTGTCCTCCACCATGGGAGTCAAATAGAAAAAGAGTATAAGACCCACCTGAAGTTTTCTTCCAAGTACTCTCTAATCAAATTTCCCTGATTTCTACATCAATTCTGCCCTAACCTCTTACAATACAATATTGCTCATGCGATGACAGGGCTAGTGTAGGGAAGAAGCATCACCAGGAGAGAGAAAGTCAGCCTTCAATTTCTCTGTCCCCCCCCGCCTTTTTTTTTTGGTCTCAAGGATGTCCACAGCATCATTTGATTGGGCCAAGGAGATAAGTTGGATGCTCTCCTGTTTGGGTGCTATATCTCCTTTGATAACCCACTGGACCTTCCCTAGATATCTCACTCCACTCCTGCTGTCCCATGTCCTACATCAAAAATTTCATACCTAGATTTCATACATCAGATGGAGAAAATCTAGGTTTCTTCATCTTCCCTCACTTCATTCTTGCTTTCTTAAAATTTAAAAAATATTAATTTTTCTAGTTTGATTGAGATTTGGGATATAGCATTGTATATGTTTAAGGTATACAGTGTAATGATTGACATATGTATTTATTGCAAAATGATTACTGCAACAAGGTTAGTTGATATCCATCACTTCACATAATTACAATTTGCATTTTGTCGTGAGAACATTTAAAAGCTATTCTGTCAGCAACTTTCAAATATACAATACAGTATTGTTAAACTAGAGTCATTATTCTCTCCATTACATCTCCGGAACTCATTCATCCTATAACTGGAAGCTTGCAGCCTTTGATCACGACTACCTGTTGCCCCCGCCTTCCGTCCCTGGCAACCACCAATCTGTCCTTTGTTTCTCTGAGCTTGGTTTTCTCAGATTCCACGTATAGATGAGATCATTCGGTATTTGTCTTTCTCTGTCTGACTTCACTTAGCCATAATGCCCTCAAGGTTCATCTATGCTGTGAAACAATAGCAGGATTTCTTTCAACTCTTACTTTCTAAACAGAGTTGGCTATGTCTGGCTATTAACCCTCCTGCCTTTAAGAGTTTGGGCAGAGAATGCGAGAAGGCAATGGATTATATAAAAATTTTCCTTCTAATTGAATTATGTAGTCTTAGTAATTAATTCCACATGTCTCTGCAAGAATGAATACTATGTCTCAATTCAGATTTCACAGATGTAGGAGGTACCTGCAACTAAAATAATTCCATGTACTAGAATGACACTGCCCGAGAGAAATATCATGTAAATCACTTATGTATTAATAAGTTGAAATTTTCTACTACCACATTAAAAAAGGAAAAGGAACAGATCAAACCAATTTTAGGAACCTATTTTATTTAGCCCACTGTTTTTAAAATAGGGCTTCCCAGGTGTCACTAGTGGTAAAGAACCTGACTGCCAATGCAGGAGACAAAAGAGACGCAGGTTCGATCCATGGGTTGGGAAGATCCCCTGAAGGAGGGCATGGCAACCCACTCCAGAATTCTTGACTGGAGAACCCCATTGACAGAGGAGCCTGGCGGGCTATAGTTCATAATGTCACAGTCAGACATGACTGAAGTGACTTAGCATGCATGTATGCATATTCAAAANGCGTGCTGCGGTTCATGGAGTCGCAAAGAGTCGGACATGACTGAGCAACTGAACTGAACTGAACTGAATGTGTCAATATAAATCAATATATGTAATCACTATAAAATTATTGAGAAGCTTAACACATTGTTTTTCTTACAAAATCTTCAAAGTCTGGAAATACTAATTCTAAATCTGGAAATGCTAACCCTTCAAAAATCTCAATTCAGACTCGCATACTTCAAATGCTCAATAACTCTAGTTTGCTCCTGGTTATGACACTGGACAGTGCAGGTCCAGAACCACTGACAGGGAGTATATGCAAATTATTTGGTCTAACATCCATGAAACCCAAGCAAGTACAAATTGCAGCTTTGACCCACCTTCATGTGCTGAAAACTTAGAATCACAGGCTGGGAGAGAGATGTGTTCTTTTTGGGTCCAATAGCAGCACTTACTACATGAGAGTTCAGGTAAACTTTCTCAGTCATTTCTTCAAAAGAAGTTGCATTTATGATCTTTCTGAGGGAAGAGTATGAAACAAAGGCAACTGCACTAGAACCTGAGGAAACAGAATAATGGAGATTGGGATTGACATATATATACTCGTGGTGCAGGCTCAGTCACTCATTTGTGTCTGACTCTGTGTGACCCCATGGACTGTAGCCCATCAGGCTCCTCTGTCCATGGGATTTCTCAGGCAAGGATACTGGAGTGGGTTGCCATTTCCTTCTCCAGGGGATCTTCCTGACCCAGGGATTGAACCTGTGTCTCGTGCCTTATAGGTGGGTTTTTACCACTGAGCCACCAGGGAAGCCCTTAGTCATATTAATACATATATATTTAGTTTGTTGAATTCAATTAATGTGATGTTGAGCATCACATTATATGCTATGCTGAAGAGGAAAAAAGTTAAAATTTTACATAACTTCCTCCTCCTTCTGCTTCTGTAACTCAGCTTTCCTCTTGCAAAGTCTAGGTCATGCAGGTCACGTAGTCTCAGAGTGTGGGGACTGGCGATACTAGGAACTAGAGTTTATCTCACTCACCCTTGTCCTGCTTTTTGCAATCGCCCAGCCCCTGCAAACCTGCTTAATCATGCCTGTCCAGGTCAGGCATAACCCTGCCCATTGTGACCACTGATCCTGAGCACACGAAACCCCTTGGTTTAAGTCAGCCTATTAGCAGCTAGTGTTGCCCACTACAGTCTGTCTATAAAAACTCTGTAACCCCTTTGTTAGGGGCTCAGAGCTTGGAGTGTTAACTCCTCTGGACCTGCTGGCGTAGTAAGCCTGAGCTGTCCAACTCTCCGAGTGTGGTGCTTGGTTTCTCGAATCCTGGTTTCTGCAGCAGTGCCACAGTTTATTTCTTGTAAACATAAATGATGCAATTTTGATGAGAAAAGGACAAAAAAGAAAGTGAAATTTTTATAAAAATACACACCTAGAGATAACTGCTGTTTAAGTTCTGGATTTTTTTTCTAGGTATATATATATCTGTATCCAGATACACCTCGTGTCCAAGATTTGTTAATGGACAAAAGATAACATTGCAAGGAAGAGCCAATTCTGACTCCAGGTTGGATCTGTTACTTTAACCTTTACTTCCTGCTGCTTTTGTTTCCTGCTTGGACATAATGGCCTGCCTCAGGGAATTCTGCCTACTGCCTGAATATTAAACTAATGTGTCTTTGTTCAAGACCCTGTCCACCTGCAGATGGCTACAGGAAGGAAGAAATTAACACATCCTCCAGGAGATATTTGCAAGATTAATAGACTTTTTAGGGCTTCCCTGATGGCTCAGTGGTAAAAGACTCTGCCTGCAATGCAGGAGACGTTGCTTCGATCCCTGGGTTGGGAAGATCCCCTGAAAGAGGAAATGGCAACCCACTCTGGTATTCTTACCTGGGAAATCCCATGGACAGAGGAGCCTGGACTGAGCACACACACGCGCAGTGGGCTTTTTACTTTGCTTCCTTAGCCCCCGCCCCACATCTCTATTCTATAAAAGAGCCTGGCATCTAGACCCTGATAAGATAGTTATTTTTGAGACATTAGTATACCATTTTCTCAATAAACCAGCTTTCAAATAAAGTCATTTTCCTTGCCTCAACACCTCATCTCTCAAATTTATTGGCTGGTTGTGTGGTAAGCAGAGCCAGCCTGGACTCAGTAACAATGTGACCGAGTTTCCTTCTATGGACAGCTGAGTATCAGGGATTATCTGATTCTAAGGGGCATTGTGATTCACCTTTTATGGACTTTCTATTGCCAAGCAATTTCACAACTCTGTAGGCATGGAAGATAACATGTAGAAACTTGATAGCAGTGGAAATGGTTCTTTCCCTAGACAAATATGCATTTTGTCTGGTAGATATGTAGTTTTCTGTTATAGAAAATATAATTCTGAACATTGCATTGTAGTATTGCCTATAGAATATTAACCAGCTTTTGCATCAGTTAGCATATCATTTCAGAATTTGTGACTGATTTATATAGGAATATGTTTGTGTACATATGTATCTGCTCTTTGAATTGCCTCTGAGCATGTTTTAACATTTCATAGATTCCCTCATCAATTAATGAGCTGATGTAATCTTTTTCATGACTTTGAAAAAGGCTTTATTGAATTTGTTACAATATTGCTTCTGTTTTTTATGTTTTGGTCTTTTGGCCGTCCCAGGGCACGTGGGATCTCAGCTCCCAGACCAAGGATCGAATCTCCAGCCCCTGCATTGGAAGGCGAAGTCTTAACTGCTGGAGCACCAGGGACGTCCCATGAGTTCATATGATTTTTGATGTTCCTTCATTTATATTTGAGAATGGTATTTACCTTTTCATTATTTATCTCTTTGAAAAAGGTATATAGGTGTATACACATACACACACAAAAACACAAACATATATACACGCACATAGGCACACTTACTCACATATATGAGGGTCAAAATAAAAGATATTCAGTGTCTCTTCTCATATTCTGAGGCATACTTTGTATTTCTGGCCCTGAATCCTTTGTTGTATTGAATAGGGTAAAACTGGAGGGACAAGAGAAACTGGAAAAACTAAGAGAGGCTAAGGTGATTTACATAAGAAAGGACACGAATCTACCCTTAGGAGAAAAAGATATAAAAATTGGGTTGTCAATGGCTGATTCCTGTTGATATTTGGTAGAAACCAATGCAATACTGTAAAGCAATTATACTTCAATTAAAAAAAAAGTTGTGTCGTTTTTCAGCGGCTAAGTGCCATCTGACTCTTTGCGACCCCATGGACTGCAGCACTCCAAGCTCCTCTGTCCTCCACTATCTCCACTATCTGGAGGAGGAAATGGCAATCCACTCCAGTATTCTTGTCCCATGAACTCCATGAACTGTATAAAATTTGGGAGGAGGGGGCGAGAAGAGGCAGGTGGAATTTTGAAGGAGGAAGAGAGGAAAGAGACTGGGTCAGCCATAAAGAGGAAGAAGAAAGTAAAGTTAACCCTCTATATCTGCAGGTTCTGTATCCGCAGATTCTATGAACCATGAAATGAAAATATTTTAAAAAATCCCAGGGACTTCCTTGGTGGTTCAGTAGCTAAGACTCTGCTCCCAAGGCAGGGGGCCCAGGTTCAATCCCTGGTCAGGGAACTAGATCCCACTAGATGCCGCATCTAAGACCTGGTGCAGCCAGATAAATAAATAAATATTAAAAAATTCAAGAAAGTCTCAGAAAACAAAACTTGAATTTGCTTTGCATCCACAACTATTTTCTTAGCTTTTGCATTGTATTAGGTATTATAAATAATCTAGAGATGATTTAAAGTATAAGGGAGCATGTGCATAAGGTTATATGCACGTCTATATCACATACTATTGATACACCATTTTATATATGGACTTGAGCGTTCATGGATTTTCATTTCTGAAGGGTCCAGGAACCAATCCCTCTTGGAGACTAAAGGACAGCTATAAAAGGAAATTGGGTAAGTCTAGTGTGATATCATTCCACTTCCTCTGCTGTCTCTTGAAGACTTCAGTAATGACTAACTTGTTTTGCAAGACCTTTAGAACTGGTTTTGTGTTTCTTTTGCATGGAACAAAATGTTGAGGCTGGACCCAAGGAAATCCATTTGTAGTTGGTACAAGTATTTCTATCTCTTTAGATATAAATCTAATTATTTCTTTTCCATATATATTATATATATATAATAAAGTTATAGGAGGAGAAGGGGATGACAGAGGATGAGATGGTTGGATGGCATCACTGACTCAATGGACATGAATTTGAGCAAGCTCTGGGAGTTAGTGATGGACGGGGAAGTCTGGCGTGCTCTGCAGTCCATGGGGTTTCACAGTCAGACACGACTGAGCGACTGAACTGAACTGGTATATATTATATAGTATAAACCAGATATAGATAACATATAACAGTAATGACTAACTTGTTTTGCAAGACCTTTAGAACTGGTTTTGTGTTTCTTTTGCATGGAACAAAATGTTGAGGCTGGACCCAAGGAAATCCACTTGTAGTTGGTACAAGTACTTCTATCTCTTTAGATATAAATCTAATTATTTCTTTTCCATATATATTATATATATATAATAAAGTTATAGGAGGAGAAGGGGATGAGAGAGGATGAGATGGTTGGATGGCATCACTGACTCAATGGACATGAATCTGAGCAAGCTCTGGGAGTTAGTGATGGACGGGGAAGTCTGGCGTGCTGTGCAGTCCATGGGGTTTCAGAGTCAGACACGACTGAGCGACTGAACTGAACTGGTATATATTATATAGTATAAACCAGATATAGATAACATATATGGAAATCATTACCTATGTGCTTACTCGCTCTGTTGTGTCCGAGTCTTTGTGACCCTATGGACTGTAACCTGCCAGGCTGCTCTGTTCATGGGATTTCCCAGGCAAGAATATTGGAGTGAGCTCCCATTTCCTCCTCCAGGGGCTCTTCCCCACCCTGGGATTGAACCTGCATCTCCTGCATTGCAGGCAGATTCTTTACCTGCTGAGCCATCGGGGAAGCCCTCTATTTATCTATCTATCTACCTATCCACCTACTGTGTCCAGACATTATTCTGGGAATACAGTGGGGGACAAAAATAGCCTGAATTTCTCCTCTTATGGATCTTACTTTCTGGTGCAGGAAACAAACATAAACAAGCAAATAAAGCTGTTAGATAATCACCGACTGAAGCCCCCCACCTTGGCCAGGCATGATGATAACCACTTGGGTGAGTTGTCTCACAACAGGAGGTCCCAATGAGGAACTTGGTACTGCCACCCGAAAACTAACCAGGAGAATTTGGGAGGGGCCAAGAGAGGGAGGAGACAACCATCCTCCCAGAATCCTTTGCACTGGAATCCATCTTGGCTGAGAGTTGCTTGGGCCACCAGGAAGGACCCTGACTCAGACTATGGGCCAAGGATGATGACTGACCAGAGACAACCTAGAAACTAATCGCATTACCATAAAACCTGAGACTGAGCCAAGTGGCAAAGCAACAGTTTTCCTGCTGCTCTCCACCTAGGGACCACTTTCCAATAGAGTCTCTTGCTGTCC